TGTTTCTCTCATGTTACATTGATTCCCAGGAGCCACAAGGTTCAGACCTTTGTTGTCTAGCAATACAAAGACATAATCAACAGGGCATGGTAAAAAGCATGCATTAAGATGCCTGCATGAAAATGACCAACAAGCATAAAGGATGAAAGAGACAGAAGCCTAGTCCATATCTGGTCCAGGCAAAACTGCCTCTAAGCCACCTTTAGTCACCACTGTCACCGAGTTTCATCATCCCCACTGCCTCCTCTAGAATACGAGAGGCACATAAAAACTTAGAGGCACATTTTCTCTTATTTATATGAAATATTTATGGAAGTCAGCTAGTTTTTCTCTCTTCTTTTAGCTTCGATTTTCAGGAATTTTTTTTTTTTCTTTTTGGTACTAGGGATCGAACTCAGGATCATGTGCTTCGTAGGCAGGTGCCTATGCCACTGAGCTATCTCCCCAGCCTGGGAACCACTTTTAAATGTCTTGATATTAGTCTTGCAAGCATAGAATCCAAAGCACTGACACCTTATAGTTGTGTTAATCTACATTTTGGTTCTTCACACAACTCACTTTCCAAATAAGAGTCACACGGGGTCACTCTTACTCACGGACAGAAAAATGTGTGTGTCTTCTCGCCGAACATGGGCAGTCTGTGGTCTCACAGACTTACAGCAGTCCACTCACTGTCGGCTTTCTATGCCTGCTTCTCCTCTGACGTTCGTTTGCAGAACAGGGGATTGAACTCAGGCCCTTGCGCTTACCAGGCAAGCGCTTATTCTACTGAGCCATCTCCCTGGCCCACCCTCTTCTGAATCTCTCCCTCTTTCATCCCTTCCAACTGTTGCTCTTTGAGCTTTTGTTTTTCTTTTGTCCTCCTCGTCCTTCATCCCTTCCCGTGCACCTTGTAGCACCATCAGTCCTTCTCTAGCATTCTACCAAATTGATTCACAAACCCCTGCAGAATCCTACTTTGGATTTGTTCTGTGTTTGCTCGAAGTAAAATTTCTCAATTTTTATTTTTAGCTATTTTCAATGAATGTAAAATCACTGTCCTCCCATCTGCCAAAATTAAATAAGTGCGATGCTTTTGTATAATAAACACAATCAAAATATAGCAGCAGAAAATGGAAAGGAGGCTGATTAGGAACATCTTGGCAGCTGATATGCTCCAATTATCTGCAGAGTGCATTTAATTTAACTTTTCTCAAACCTCCTTTAATTTAACAAGTTTAGGTTTTAAATTTACCTTGTAGAAGAACTAAGGTTTTAAGCTAGGGATGTGGCTCAGTGACACAGTGCGTGACTGGCGAGCACAAGGCCCTGGGTTTGATTCCTGATACAAAAAAAATAAAAAGAACGAAGGTTCTTTGACCCTGCAGTTATTCCATTCGAACCCACTAATTCTCAAATTGAACTCTTAGGGAAGGTTAAAGTCAATTCCAAGTCTGATGCAATAATTTTGACTTCTTCATGTATCAAACATGCCTTTATATACAAATATATCTATTGCAATAAAAATATTCCCATATTTTGCTTTCAGATAAATTTTGCAAGGTTTTGTGCCCATGAAAATTGTTCTGCCGATTTACAGGTTTCTGCAAAAATTGGATTTTTCAAGTAAGTTTATTATATTTTTTAATTAAGATACAAAACATGTGTATATGGGTTCTAAAGAAAAGGGAGACTCATCTTTGAGAATTAGACTCATTCAAAAAATTAGAAAAGAGGGTCGGGGAGATAGCTCAGTAGAATAAGTGCTTGCCTGGCAAGCACAAGGTTCCCATGTACCTTGTAGCACCATGAGTTCAATCCCTAGTACCACACACACACAAAAAGAATGTTGTATTGAGAGCGGAGATTATATATATTCTAGATTTGGCTATTTGTGTACACACACACACACATATACACACACACACACACACACACATATATATATATATATATATATATATATATATAGACACATATACATGGACAAGTACATATTACAGTAAGTATGCATTCAAGGATTTCCACTTTCCAAATCATGAGTATATATGAACAGTAAGGTGTTATGAAACATGCTTAAATCCTTTATTGATAACTCTGGGACTGTGTCCAGGTGTAATTGTGCTTTGGAATATCATGCTGTGTTTTAACATTCATCAGGGCTTGTTAATAGAGTTTTGGTAGCAAAATGAGCTTTCACTGTACATGGCTATGCTTAGTTTACCACCCAAAAAACTGGTTCTATCATTCAAGTTGATATATGAAACAGTACATGGAAAACAAATAGGAAAAGGAAGAAACCAACTTTCTCATCTAAATTCATAGGAGGGTAAAAATGGTATTGTGCAATGTGGTTAGAATACCATGCAGAACTACATAAGAGTGGCTTCCCGTGTTCCCTTATGCTGGAAGATGAGCTGCTGTAACTATGTGTTGTTCTTAGGTCCTCTCCATGGAAACCGCTTTGCCCATTAGAAGGAAGATATGAAATTGAGGGCCACAGAGGTTGTCTGCTTGCCATTGAGGGTCAGCTGCATGTGGGAAGGGGCAGAGAGTGGGCAGCGGAGGCAGCAGCCAGGTTGGCATGTAAAGCTGAGGTCCTGGTCATGCCAGGAGCTTTGGGGGAGTTCATGTGATCTTGGAGGGTGCCCACTTGTGCTCCTTCCTGCCCTTGAACCTCAAGCTCCTGTCTCTCCATGCGTAAATAGCACTTGAAAAACACATGAAAAAATTGTTTACTTGAATGTACTTGTCCCCAATATTCTCTCCTTCATCACTCATTCTGTCATTTGGCTACTAGTACATAAAGAAGAAATAGTCCATTAGTAACAAAGATGACACTGCATGCTGGGTTACAAGGTGGTCATCACTATTTTTGGATTATGTGGTAGGGAGCCAATCTGGTTAATTTAAGTGTAAAGTCCAATTGCCACCTGGGCATGGTGGCACATGGCAGGCCAAGGCAGGAGGAGTACCATCCAGGCCCACCTGGGCAACTTAGCAAGAATGAAACAAAACAGCTAAGGAAGTTGCTTGATGCAAAGGCCCTGTGCTTATTCCCCAGTACCACAGAAAGAAAGAAAAAGAATAAAGGAATGAATAAATTACCAACTCAGTATCACATGGCTAAGGTTTCCTGGTCAGCAAGTAAGGATGCCCAAAGCTGTATTGGTGTTGCCTAAGCCAAAATAGCTCATTTATTTTTCTGTCCTGTGTCTTTTTCTTTAGTTTCATTTTCTAAAGTTGCAGTTACCTGCAGTCAACTGTGATTTGAATGTAGTAAATGAAAAGCTTCAGAAATAATTCATGAGGTCCAAGTTGCCCAGAGGTCTGAGTAACAAGATGGAATCTCTCTGTGTCCCGCTTCGCCCTGCACTGTGTACTCTGCCTACCACGCAGCCACTCCTTAGTAGCTGTCCTGGTTTTCAGATCAACTGTTGCAGAATCACAGTGCATGGGTTTCACACACTGTGCTTAATTTTGGACCTCAAGCACATGAGTAGTGATGCTGGCAGTGCTAGTGTAGAATACTGTTAGATTTCCTTATTGTTACTTATGTTTTTTCTATATCCAATGTATGAAATGAACTTTATCATACATATGTGTTGGAAAAATCCTGGTGTATCTATAGGGCTAGAACTGTCTGCCATTCTTCCACTGAGGGTTTGGAAGACATCCCTGAGGTTAATGGGAGGATGCTCTATATTATGTTTTGGGTGTTCACAGATTATGATAGGTTTTAGGTTGCTTATAGGAGACTGAATTCTGAACGTCGTTCTGTGTAGATGGCCTACAGCCCATGAGCACTGCTAACTGTGACTGGCTAGACACTTTTCAGTCTTACGAGACTGACAGCAGTGCGAATGCTGGTGTCAGGTAGGAAGGGCAGGATGTCTTTCTTCAATCAGGAAAGTCAGAAGCTACTTCTGCTAGCGTAATGGTAATGAACTGAGGAACTTAGAAATGAAGACTCTTCTGATTAGGCTTTCTATCCAAAGTGAAAGGTGTTGACAAACTGCCTCACTGCCTTGCGCTTTTGGTAAATTATACTCTTACCAGGCAAAATTATGCTCCCCACTTAGGTGTTCGTTTTCCCTCCTCAGTCGCAGGAGGCCAGCTGAGACCACGTGTTCCATGTATTCTGCAGGCTGTATCTCCACTGGCACAAGTGGTACTTTAGTGGCCCAGTTCTTTAAACCTGCTTTAGGTAAATGTATTTACTCAGTAAAGCAGGCGTTTCTGAAGCTAGCAACAGTAAGCTGCCAACCGTGCCCTGAACAGTGCTTATGGGAGCTCTCTTCTCTCTTTATCAAAGTGAGGCCACCTCCTCCTGCAGGACTAAGCTCTCAGAACAATAAAGCATGCTCAGATGACTTCCATTGCAAAAGAAAGATGAGTGAGTATGACTTTACAAACAGAGCAGCAGGGTTAGCGATCACATAGACAGTGTAACATCAAATGATTCTTACAGTTTAATGATATAAACGGCACTTCTTTCTTCCATATTCCTATCACGCTTCCAGGGTAAGTGGTGTAGGCATTCCCTGAACAACTGTTTTCATGTCACTAGGAATGCTTTAGACTGTAAGTAATGACACCTGACCGGCAGTGACTTAAACAGTAGACAGTGTGGCTTTCGTAGTCTGGTGGGAGGAGTTGCAGGTTGTGAGCACCTACCAAGAACCGAGCACTGGCAGCCATCTTGTCCACCTTTTTGGCTTTTCCTCCTGGTCACAGTATGGCTGCAGCAGTACCAGTGTTCCAAGCATGGAAAAAGTTCCAAGATAAAAAATGCTTTCCTTTTTGAGGCTTCTTTTCTAGGGAGGGAAGTAACCCATCAGACTTACCCTGACTAACCAGACCTGGGTCATACGTCCTTCCGTGAGCCTGGCCAGGCTGAAGGAAAACAGAGTTGCATGAGCACAAGAGCTCGGTCGTGGCTCAGTCCTTGCATCCGAGCACGAGGCCTGTTACCTGCAGTATCAGGGATGTGCTGACTCTTCTCTGAGTAGTTGGGGTTGTGTTATCTGTAAGAGGAGAAATCGCTATTGGATGGACAATAGGCAGTGACCCACTCCTTCCATTATGCTGCTAGCCTTCAAGGATTATTCTAATGAAATGAATAGCTCAATGGCACAGAGCCTGCCTGGCAAACTCGAGATCGTAAGTTCAATTCCTGGTAAAACAGAGGAAGTGGAAATGGATGCTCACTGGCTTCACATGCTTCTGGGAAGATGAGTTATGTGCTTTGTGCACTAGAGCATATTAATTGCTACTCCGAGTCCTCCCAGTGTCTTCCCCTTGATGTCAGTGAGTTTGCCTTTACTTAATAAATTCTCCTTTAGTATCCGATAACATCTATTTGAGTAGGCAAGAACTTTTTAGCATTTTCATCTTTCATGGATTCAACAATAAAGTACAAAGTATAAAATTGCTCTGAGGTCTGTAGGCCACTTACCACAGGGTCATCTTTTATCAAATAAATTTATCACATGTATGACACAGTGAAATATATTATTTTACATTTTTTCTACCATCCTGATTAAGAACCAGTTTTCTCACAAGCCCTCATTCACAAAACAATATCTATTTATTATACCAAGACTTAGAGAATAGATCTTGCAAAATCAAATCTTCACTGAGGAAAATCTTAAAACTTAAAATTCTATTTCGTTAGAATAATACTTGAAGGCTAGCAGCATAATGGCAGGAGTGGGTCACTGCCTATTGTCCATCCAATAGCGATTTCTCCTCTTACAGATAACACAACCCCAACTGGAATATATCATTTTTCTATTTTTTGCCTCTTCCCTTTATTAAGTGATGATTCTGTATGTGCACAGTGCCTTGACTTGTTTAAGGTATGTGGATACCAGCTTGCTTTGTAAATTTCATGTCTGCATTATGCATGTTTTAATGAAGAATGAACTATGAGTCCCAGGGAAAATCCTGGCTCGGTCTTGTTGCAGGTCCAGATGTGCACCTGATCCCTTATTATTGTCTCACACGGAAAGCTGGTGGCTCGCCTTCCAAAGGCTCCGTGTTAACAGATCAAGTTACAGTAAGATGTACATTTCAAGAGTAGAATTGTAATTATGGTAATGTGATAAAATAGCTTAAAATTGGAAAATAAAGCAGGAGTCTCACTGCCGAAATGTGCACATTTTGATTCTTTTTAATTTGCTGTTGTCTTGGATCCTGGCTACCAACACAGTGATTTCACCTTCTGTTGCCTGTGTAAGTGCCAACTTCTCTCCCAAAGGTGTTCGGTGACTAATGCTTTGGTTACAAGCCAGAATATTTTATAAACGTCTATTTCTAGGCAGCTCCTCCACAAGTCTTAATTAAACTTTAATGTCAAGCTGAAGTTTACTTTCAGAACCTGTTAGGAAAGGAACTTGATTAGAGAGCAGCAGGGGGAGGGAGGATAACTATTCCAGCAACTTCCTCACTGTGGCTTAGCAAGTGCCACCAACCAGACGTATAGGGACCTAAAGGTTTATGGCAGGGGCCTTGGGAAGTCACGGCTGTTCCGCAGGTGCTGAGCCAGCACTTGGAGACACTCAGTCAGGTTCCCCAGCTCTTGCTGAGGTCTGCGGTCACCACATTGTTCTTCTGTGTTCTTCCAGCGACATCTCGCTTTGCAAAGCTAAGCCTCAGCTAGAAATGGTACACAGCGAAGTGTTCTTTGTTTCTTTCTCTTTCATTGTTTGGAGCTTTTTGCAAGAGTTAAAAAGAGCAGGAATGCTGTCTCAAAATGAAATGAGCTGGAGACGCAGCTCAGGTCTTAAATTCAAATCTCAGTGCCAAGACCAAGCGAGGCTCAGGGGTCATGTTCTTTAGTGCTCGCTGCTTCTGACAGCAAATGAGGCATCCTGGGCCATCTGAAAGGGTGAAGCCTCCATTGTCAAAGTCAAAGTGAATTTTAAGAAAATCTATCAATATTGCATTGCATGTTGATTTAAAAACTATTCTTGTCAATCTGATGGTTCTCTATCGGGAGCCATTGCAACCTAACTTTTTCTGTGAACAGACAGGAAATATTTTCAACTTTTTAGGACAAACCTCAGTCTTAGTTACTCAACTCTGCCATTAGAGTGAGAATTGAATGTGGCTGTGTACTGGTGAAACTTTTATGAATAGAGGTTTGAATTTTGACCTTTGGCAGTAGTTTTCAGACTCCTGTTGTATGATACATTTACTTTTCATTGGGAAATTATGCAGCCTATGTTTATTTTCTGTAATGTGAAAATAGTTTCTCATATATCTTTTACTATTTATATCTAGCTTGCTACTACAACTCAAGCTAATTGTGAAAATAACTGACTTAAATTCATAAATGTTTAAAGAATTATTTCTTGGCTTAAAAGAACTCTTGAGAACCTGCTCCCAGGTAGATACGAAGAATTGACATAGGGGAAGGTTTTCCCCAAACAGAACTGCATGTGTGGGCTCAACAAAAGACACTAGGTGCTTTCAGCTGGAAGCTTCTGGAATTCCCATTGACAATTCAATGAATAAGTACAATGGGACATAGTATAAGATGAAACATGTACATCAATGAACACAGCAACTTAAAATAACAAATACTGATATAGGTTAATCTTGCAAACAAAATTTTGAATAAAAGAAGCCATACTCAGAAGGGCAGATACATAGACGAAGTATATATGCTAAGATTCCATTTATATAAAACCAGGCAAACAAGTTTATAGTATTACAAATGAATTTAGAGGGTTGGGAAACAACTGGAAGGGAGTGTGTTTGTTTTTCTCTCAGTCAAGGTGCTGGCCTCAGACATGGATTCAATTTATGAAAAATTATTGCGCTGTATACTTAGAAAATGTGCTTTTCTTTGCACACATTTTCATAAGTAAGTTTGAAGGTAAGAAAAAACAGGAAAAGTGGGAAGAACTTTTAATTGAATTGTTCAATTTCAAAGAGGTGTTAAAGTTAGAACATTGGGGGAAAGTATCTAAAATTAGAATTTTGTTTATACATTCTGAGGTCCATGAGAACTAGTAATTCTGAAAAGTAACGTCCGCTTTTTTCTAGTTTTTTGTTTTGTTTTGTTTTGCTTTTTTATCCTTGGGAAGCATCTACAGGGTGTTCAGGGTCTCACTACTAGATCGGACTCATAGTAATCTGCCTGTTGTCAGCCTCCCAAGAGCTGGGATTATAGGTGCGTGCCACCACGCCCAGTCGCATCTCAGAGTGTTCCTAGGGTGGAGCCGGCACAGCAGGCCCAGGATCATTTTTTTTTCTAGTATTGATTGACTGTTATCAAATGATGACATTACTATGGTTACTTTAGTACATGTGTTGCAGCTACTATGTCAGGTTGTGGGGTGGGTGTGGATCACAGAAAGATGGTTGTATTAGGTATTGGTGAAACGAAAAATTTGTGAAATTTTACAGAACAGAAACATGACTCCAGCTATCATTTGACAAAAGTGACCTGACAGTTTCATAAACTTTAAAAATCAATACTTAATCTGATACTTTTCTGACTTTTACATGTCCCTTGGGTATAACCCAATGCTTCGTTTTACACGTGAATACAGACCATGTGAGCACACACACCCCCTGGAGAAAACTGATGATCGGTCGTCCAACGTCTTCCCTCCCAGACACAGCTCTAGATTAGAGAAACCAGGGTCGGCCAAGTAGCTCAGCAGATTAAAGCCCCTGCAATCAGGTGCAGGGCCAGGGACTCGATCCCCTGGGCCTGCCCTGCTGGCCCCACCCCGGGGGCTGAGATGGCAATTGAGACTGGGTGTGGTGGTGCACACCTATAATCCCAGCACTTGGGAGGCTGTAAACAGAAGAATCACTACGAGTCCAATCTACTAGTGAGATCCTGAACACCCTGTAGACCCTTCCCTAAAAATACAATAAAGATACACACACACACACACACACACACACACACACACACACACACGAAACCAGTGAGTGATTAGAAATTCTGGAAACACTGCTGAATAGAAGGTCCCAGGATGCCTGAAAGAGGGAGAGGCTGCCCTTTCTTCTGGCTGCAGAAGAAACTGTGGCATGCAGGAGGGCGCCGGGGAGACATGGCTGGAAGAATGCCTCGGTGTTACGGATCAAACTGAATTTTAGCAAGGCTGCCAGATGCACAGAGAGGTGGAGGCAGAGGCAGAGCGGGAGTGGCCACTGGCCACCACCTTGCAGGGCTGCGGCAGAGGGTGACCTGTGCAGTAGCAGCAACACGGGCCAGCTCCCAAGGCCTCCCTTTGATGCTAAGCACTTGGAGCCCTTCTTTAGGAGGTACTGGAAGCCACTGCCCAAGCATGTGGTATTGTCCAGATTGCTTTGGTTTTTTGGAAATGACCTGGCGGTATGCTAACTGGACTGGAAGAGAGGAGGATTTGGAAGAGAGAAATCAATTTATGGAAGCAATCTACTTTAACTCTGGTTCAATCATGAACTTGTCAGGCTTTATTTTTAAAAAGATCTTCTTTGGAGTAGCCAATCTAAATAATCAATATAACAGAAAAACAAAAAAATGATAAGCTTTACTCCTGGGCAAAGGTGCTTTCCTTGCCTAGTTCCCAGAGCCTTTCATCCAGAAGTGTTTCTCACATGTTTATATTTGTTAACATTTATCTACAAATCTTTCTTTGTATCAGATCCACATGAGAATGAAGAGTGTTTGTTTGTATTAGGAAGCAACAAACAATGCCTGAACTACTGTGTAGGAACTTCATTTATAGGTATTCATGAATCTTTCAGCAGTGCTTAACAGCACAAATTCTGAGACATTGTTCTTAAACCGTTCCTTTATCTTTAATCAATTCACAAATAACTATTAAGTGCTTATTCTGCCTAGTATTGTCATGAATACTTTATTGAAACATTAACCTATATGCGCGTTTATCAGAATTGCAGAATTTCAGTATTATAGAGGAAACATCCAAAGTTCTAAAGTGCTAGGTGATTATCTGCTATTGTTATGATAATCTGCCAGAATAAATACTTTGCGTCACATCCACCTCTAATTTGAACTAATTTTTCTAATTTTTAAGTTACTAGTAGCTAAGGCTTATTGCCTCTGTGGAAAGTTTAGAAAATCATACTATACTGTAATTGAAACTCTTCTTTAGCATTCAGCTATTCTGATCTTCTCACTAGGAAAGAAAATGGACTTTGTAGAAATCTGCAGGTGCTTTGAGGTTTTAGAATATGCTAGCTATAGTCTTTGGATAAATTCCTTCAGACTTATAACACACTGAAGATCTCATGGAATATGCATAATCCACATCTTCACTGAATGGTAATGTTAACTATTTCTTATTAGGGTGGCCAAAAACCTAGAAATGCTGAATGACCCCTACCCCAAAGAACTGGTGGCAGTCCCAGGATTTGAGCTTACCTTTCTGGTAAGACAGACTGCAACTGGCTTCCCTTTGCAGTTCAGAGGACAGTGGTGAATTTCTGCAATAACTCACCCTATGTATTGCAGAAGTGGTCAACCTGTCTGCTTCAGAAATTAATTGTAGTCCAACAATCACAGTGCCACCCACTTGATGGGCATAGCAGTCATGACCCTTGCCTTTCTCACAGCTACTAAAACATTCCCTGTATGTTCTCAATCTCCTTTTCTCCGATTCCCTTCTCCTTGTCTTTTATTGGTTTGGGCAGCAGCTAGTTGAGTGACTCTTCAAAGCCTGAGCAAACAAAGGGAAAAATGCTTTACCTTTAGAAACACTGCATAATCTTGAGGAAATTGTTAAAATTATAGAAGACAGACCAATTCACTATAACCAGTTGAAAAACAATTCTTTAGCAATAGCCGACTGAAGACAAAACACTGAGTACTTTTAATATAAATCTGCTTATATGGGGCTCATTTCACAGTTATTTTTCTAAATTAACATTTTAGCATAACATAAATACATATATGGAAATGGAATTTTTATTTTTCCTATTACTTCTAAATAAGAACTGAATTACTTATTTTTAGGCCATATGAAAATAAAACCTATCTCGCTGTTGGAGGCATGAAGACGTTAATGTTGAATGTGTCCTTATTTAATGCTGGAGACGATGCCTACGAAACAACTCTGCACATCCAACTCCCCCCGGGTCTTTACTTCATCAAGATTTTAGACCTGGTAAGTACTACATGGCACAGAAGCAAGATGCAACTCAGTGACTTAATTTTTTTTAAACATTAAGTAGTATAATTTATTTCATGGATTTGAGACATAAGAACTTGTGGCATAGTCTTAGTATTTAGAATGATGACTCAGGCTCCTAGCTATTTTAAGACTTCCTCTATAGCCCTGCTCAGAAATGCAGCTTCCCTGAGCTCTTAAATCCAAGGGCATCTGCTCCCAGTGCTGAGTCGCGTGGATGCCACGTTTCTACTGCCACAGCATGTAAGGCACCAGGACAATGCTCCTCTTGGTTGATCCTTGGGCCAGGCACCCAGAGGTATGGTGTTCATTTCAAGTTGACCCTGTTATGTACAACCTTCTTCCCAAAGGGCTTTCCGTATGTCAAAAGCAGCAGCCCTCTATTGATTCCGAAATCCTGGTGCCAAGCCAAGTCTTAAGCCAGTTCTCCTTTTCCTAGAGTTCAGAGCATTTGGAAAGTTTTTCTTACCACAATGCCTCCGTCACAAGCACTTAAAGCCACCAGTGATACTGTAGAAAGTTGGAGTTTCAGAGATGAAAGCCTCAATTGCTTTCTCCTTTGAGAATTCTCTACTGCTCAGCAAATTCACCTTCATCTTACCTGGAGTGTTGAGAAAGAACTTCAACACCACACAAAGATATATTAACACATTTCCCAAGAACACTAGGAGCCTGTTTTACAGGAAAGGGGAGAAGCTCCGGGAATTCATGGAATATGTATTTTTAGATATAACTATTGGTATTACTGTGATTAAATAGCTCAAATACACTTTCACACAATGGAATATAGATCTTATGGATTCCTTGCACTTTGATATTTCAAGGAATAAGCGGTCAGATTAGGGAGGGGGGATATGCCAAAGTGAATAAAAGCCACAGGCTAGGAATTTTTCAATGGAGATTTTATGTGAACATTATAATACATTATATTTCTACTTATCTCTAAACAGAACATTATTTCCTAGGAAAGTAAATACTTCTAGGATCACTTCCTTTTCAAACTCATCCCTACACATATGTTATAAATTTCTTATCCCCTTCCTACCCAAACCAGTTTCATTTTTCACTTTCAGGAAGAGAAACAAATAAACTGTGAAGTAACAGACAACTCTGGCACAGTCAAACTCATCTGCACCCTCGGTTATATATACGTAGATCATCTCTCCAGGGTATGTGGTTAGCACTTTCGGTTTTCACTTGCTAACAGGAATATATTTTTCCTCCCCACCCCATCTTTATGCTGTACATAACGTGTGTGTGTGTGTGGATAGATAGATAGATAGATAGATAGATAGATAGATAGATAGATAGATATATTTAGACTGGGAAGTTCAGTGGTGTAATAATGGCCAAGTAAACTGAGCCTGAAATCTCTGAGCTTTGTGTTTATATTCTTGGCCGTGTTAGTGGTTAGCAAGGGGGGCACACATGTTGAGGTGGGCGAGTGATCATGTCAATCAGAATTGTCAACCCCCACCCTCTCTAACACTCCCCCCACCCCACCCCAGGTGGCCCTGTCTGCCAGGCATGTTACCTCTGCTACACACAAAAAAGGTGTTTTTGGCAAGAGTCCCCACTCAAGTTGTGAAAGCATTTCTAATTTTGTCCGTCTGGACCTGCCTGTCTTGACATTCGGAGTCGGCTTTGTCTCTGCGTGCTACTTGTGGGAAAGCTTGCACTTTAAAATTGCACCTCACTGCCAAGGAAGGGGGTGGGCAGCTGATGCCTCTAGCACAGCTTTAAGCATATAGTCCGTCAAAAATAAACCATGAAGAAAAATTAAAATTCAGATGGCAAGAAAATGTGCTGTAGGTTTTTCCTTGAAGTGGGTCCTTCCTATTTTGCAGGTAGATGTGAGCTTTCTCTTGGATGTGAGCTCACTCCGCACAGCAGAGGAAGATCTGAACATCACTGTGCTTGCCTCCTGGTATGGTTTATTACTAAAAGCAAAGTATACTTAAGGAACTGCAGCCCTGTATTTTGAGGGAGGCTTTTGAGGAGCTTTGGATCTGTGTCACATTAATGTCTGTGAAAGAAACCTTTTCTTACCTGGTTGATTTAAAAACCAACAACAACAAAAAATCTATCTAACATTATAAGCAAATAACTGCTTAGAAGACAGCAAATCTTTCCCCACTCTACCCTAAAAATATTTTTACTACCAGTGTTTTATTCCTACTCTTCCAGAAGCATTTGTTAAACCAAGATCCAAACATTCCTTTAGGGATACATAAAAGGAAATTGCTTTCCCCAAAGATGATTTTGTCTTACGGGATCCAAACATGGTATATTTTGTTTCTGTAGTGAAAATGAAGGAGAAATGGACAAACTGATGGACAACAAAGTGACATTAGCGGTACCTCTAAGATACGAGGTGATGCTAGCTGTTCACGGGTAAGTAGGCAAGAGGCCTCTCAAGTTTCGAGTTGATGTTGTGCTCCACTGCTGCTCATTCTGTCAATGAATCATTTAAACGTTAAAATGTTAGGAGGATGCTTTGTCTCTTAGAGGTTACCTCAGTGCTACTACACTTCCTTACTTAGCTGTTCCTTGTTTTAATTCACTCTGTAATCATTACTGAGACTGCTTACTGAAAGAGCCCAGCAAGCCTCAAGCGGGGCACAGTGGGAGCCTTTCTGTTGTTTGCTGCAATGTAGGGGTACCCCATGTTCTTTAATATGCAGTTTGCCCACTTATGTCCCTGGCAAGTTCAAAGGACTATGAGCTTGGCCAAATTGCTAGTCTCCAGAATCCACAGCTACCTACATGGCCACCGGATGGAGGCCTGAGAGAACTGGCCACGGATGTCCCTTGTCACTCATTACATCTCTAGAATCATGTACTTCTGTGACCACAGCCCCCATGCCAGCCTTCTGTGCTTCTTCCTGATGTTAGCAGTTGCTGAGTGGATTCTTTTCTGCTTCACGTAGTGTGGAGGAAGAGTGAAAGGAAGATGCAGGAAATCTCTTGTGATTTTCTGTTGGCAATTATTCAGCCTCCTACTCATACTATGGCTTTGGTTTTTTTGGTGTTGGTACCAGGAATCGAACTCAGAACCTACCTTGTACTTGCCAGGCAGGCTCTTGTAGCTGAGCTATATCCCTGGCAAAACTAAAGCTTTTAAAGTACTGCAAAATAGACAAATGAGTGTCTCTTCTTGCCCTACATAAAATCATTTTAACTATTCATAAAAATGGCACCCAATGATATCAACATAAAATGTCTGTCTAAAAAACCTGATGGAATTGTCAGGTTTGAGGTAAAACAGGAAAAAGGTGGTCATTTAAGGGTGAGACCTGGAGGGTCAGTGGATAAGCAAATAAAAGCTGACCACATGTTGCCTGGCTTTGAGTATTTGTATCACTTCTCATTCTTCAATTTTCTTAAGACTATTATTTCCATTTTTCACATCTCATTACTTTTGGCAAGGAATGTCTTACAACCATTAAACTACACAAGATTACATATACCATTGATCAGTTCTGATTTCTTTCCTGTTGAATGGGTCCCTAAAATATGACCTGACCTAATGTTGGCTGTCAAAAGTGAAGTTTTTGGAGTAGGACTTCCTGAGTGTGGTTCCACGGCTTACTGCTGACCACATGTGTGTCACATAGGGTGAGAGAGAATGCCAACTTTGTACTACAATAAAACATGGATGAGCCTTACATACACCATTGAAGAGTTCTATCCGTGGGTGACTTGCTCCCCAGACTTGGGACTCATTATAAATAGCTGGCCAGAACAGGGGGTTAAAAAATAACTGAAAAGTAGGTTAGATTTAGGTATACAGCCCCAGGAGAAAGCTAAGGATATACCTCCTTAGCAAAATGTGGCAAAATATGAATGAATCATTTCAGTGCCAAAAGTGGGACAAGGTTATAAAGTCAATACCCAAAAGTCAATAGCATTCCTCTACACAGACAACAAACACACTGAGAGGGAAATTATAGAAACAATACCTTTTACAAT